AGGTCTGGCATCTGTTGGAGGTCTGGCATCTATTGGAGGTCTGGCATCTGTTGGAGGTCAGACATCTATTGGAGGTCAGACATCTATTGGAGGTCAGACATCTATTGGAGGTCAGACATCTTTTGGAGGTCTGGCATCTATTGGAGGTCAGGTGTGTATTAGAGGTCAGGCATCTATTGGAGGTCTGGCATCTATTTTAAGGTCAGGCATCTATTGGAGGTCAGACATCTATTGGAGGTCAGGCATCTGTTGGAGGTCAGACATCTATTGGAGGTCAGACATCTATTGGAGGTCAGACATCTATTGGAGGTCTGGCATCTATTGGAGGTCTGGCATCTATTGGAGGTCTGGCATCTATTGGAGGTCAGGCATCTATTGGAGGTCTGGCATCTATTGGAGGTCTGGCATCTGTTGGAGGTCTGGCATCTGTTGGAGGTCTGGCATCTATTGGAGGTCTGGCATCTGTTGGAGGTCAGACATCTATTGGAGGTCAGACATCTATTGGAGGTCAGACATCTATTGGAGGTCAGACATCTTTTGGAGGTCTGGCATCTATTGGAGGTCAGGTGTGTATTAGAGGTCAGGCATCTATTGGAGGTCTGGCATCTATTTTAAGGTCAGGCATCTATTGGAGGTCAGACATCTATTGGAGGTCAGGCATCTATTGGAGGTCAGGCTATTTAAGTCCTGGCATTTATTGTCAAATTTGTTGCTTTTTAGCCAATTCTCCTATGATGTCATTCCTTGCCTCCACCTGAACTATCCCTTAGTATGACTTGGGTTTGTTTATTTTGGGGACGTTGATACTTATACAAAGTTAAAGTTTATCATTCATTATGTTTGTGGACATGCCGTAGAAGGGTCCAGGGAAGAAATGTGAGAATCCACCATTTATCTTAAATATGCCATGGATATGAACCTGCATCTTTCATATGGTGAATAGGAAGTCACTACACAGATGTAAAAAGACTACCACTCCAATGCTGAGAAGGACAACCTGTAATGCTGAGAAGGACAACTTGTACTTGTATGGGTGACCACAGGATAGACCAACCCATTTCACAGATTGTAGAGAACGTTGACTGGGTCACTGAAGTGATTGACCTCTTGGCCACAACACAGGGCAGTTTCTACTGAAATGTATTCACGGAAACTGCCAACCCCAAAATAATGAAAAGTGTTAAAGTGAAAATAATAAAAAAACGCTTTTTGTGTCTTTGTAACAGGAGGTTAATGATGTTGAACTTCAAGACCAGTGAGACAAGCTGAACTGCACTGCACTCATGGCAACGTCATAAACAGATAACTCATGTTAAAAAACAACAAGTCTGAAATATCTTGTTTCTCAGGCCACAAAGCAGTTGTTGAAATATTACTGTCATTTTTTACTTAATTGCAAAGCATTGATCCACCAGTGTACTATGTGGATGATATGACCATTTCATGTTTCTTTGGAACTCAGCCTAGAACCAACTAAATATATTTGTAAATTATTTCTTAATCACTGGAATAGATTTTTCCTATCTTTGATTAATAATCGCAAGAAGAACCACCCATAAAAAATGAAAATTGGAAGAAATTCTGTTTTCATTTCTTGGCAAAACCCTGATGAACAGTTTTTACAATTTGTGTTTTTATGTTTGGTGATGAGATTCCGAACTTTAAAACACATCCTGTAAACCTATTTTTCCCTACTTTGTCCCGATGCCACTTGTGCACTCGTTATCACTATTGATTGGAGATAAAATGTCTCATAACTAGAGCCCAAGGACAGTGGCTTATGCTGAGTCAGATCAATTGCAGATGAAAAAAAAGTGGAAATGCAGTGAGTATTTGATTCATAAATCTCAACAGCAATAAAGGAAATCAGTAAGTACAAAGCGTGGACATTGTGTCTCATTAGTTTTCTGTGTTGCTATGGAAACTGATAATGTTGTCACGGTATACCACTGAACATTAAAGAACAGAATGCTACTAAATAGTTGATTCCAGTTCAGGCATGGATGCAGCCTTTCCAAACAGGAAGGGATGCACTGTAATCATGTTTAATGGGTCGTTTCAGCTTCTGAAAACATGACCAAGTACAAACACATCCGGGAAGGTTCTCCTTTTTATGCCACTCTCAGCAATAGTTCAGCTGTAGATAGTCAATTTTGGAGCAGACAAATCAGTGAGTAATACAGTGAGCAAATGATTCATGACGGGATCTGATCATACACAATCAGTAAAGTTTAAGTCCTCAAGCCTGACATCAGGTCACCGTAACAGGCGACTAGGCTTGTCGTGAGAGGCGACTAACGTGGTCGGGTGGTCAGGCTGACTGACTTTGTTGATGCATGTCATCGTATCTCAATTGCGTGGATCGATGCTCATGATGTCAATTACTGAATTGTCTGGTCCAGACTCGATTATTTAGAGACCGCTGTCACATAGCTGGAATATTGCTGAGTGCGGCGTTAAACAACAGCAACATAAACATAAACAGCATTCTGGGAACAGATAATCTGAATATTCTTTATATTACCAATTATCATTATTTGAAATAAGGGGCAGTGTGGAAGCCATGTGGTTCAGTTCGCTCGTCACGCCGAAGACCCGGGTTCGATTGCCGACATGGGTACAATGTCTGAAGCCCATTTCTGGTGTCCCCCGCCGTGATATTGCTGGAATGTTGCTAAAAGTGGCGTAAAACCATACTCACTCACTCACTATTTGAAGTTAAGTGAAGAGAAAGGTATGAAAGGCCAACTAAACAAAGGCATTTCACTGAAATCGAACTTCTGTGTGATGACTCAACTTTGTCTATTTATTTCTATTGATTTATGATGTAATGAAAAACAGGTGGCATAATGTTGTGCTGAACTATGCAGTGGTATGAAGCTATACCTAACCAATCAGATTTGAGAACGACTAAAATGCATGTATTGGAGTATTGGAAAGTTATTTCACACTCTCTAGCGACCCACATGGGTGATGCTCTATTTCAGATATTTGTTTAAATAGTTTTCCTCACACGTTACATTACATTAACACTGGATTCTAACTCTGTGGCTCATCTGCTCCCCACTGACATGCCTCCATGTTGGGATCTGTGAACTCGGAGCACCTCTGTCTCCCAGTCTGGCATAAAACAGCTCCTGTCTGATAACCCTATCTGTGACTAACAAAGAGTTATCACAGCTTCTCAAAATGGAAATGCGAGCTATAATCTGCCATCATTAGCAACCACACCGACCTGAGTTCTCCTGAGCAGGAGGGATGCAACAGTGGTTACAGCGATAGATAGATTGGACAGAGTTAAATGGGGATAGCAGCTTTTTTATCATTTTTATAAGGCATGTAGAGGTGATTCAGTGTCAGATCCAGCCTGTTTTGGTACTTTTTCTGTCTCCAATAGTACTGTGACTGAATAATATATCCTCGTACATCTGTGTCACTTTCCTTCCATCCCACCATTATTTAAATCAAATGTTTTATACTTATTTATTCTTATGAGTTTTCTGATGCAAATGTGTTCATGATCTGGTTTAATGAATCTCCCCTTGTAGATAGTCCTTCCAAACCCCTATGGATGCCTCCTTACCCTAAAGATGGCTCCTCCCCATGTACACAGTCCCTTCCTACCCTATAAACGGCCCCTCCCTAACCTACAGATGGCCCTCCCAAGTAGATAATTCCCCCCACCCACCCAACTATAGATGTCCCTCCCCCTACAGATGGTTCCCACACCTGAAGATTGATCCTGATCCCCATCATGTAAGTACCTGCCCCTATGTTCCATGCCTTGGCTCCATGTATTGGCTTCATGGCCTGGCTCCATGGCCTGGTTCCATGGCCTGGTTCCATACCTTGGCTTCATGGCTTGGCTCCATGGTTTAACTCCATGACTTGGCTTCATGGCCTGGCTCTATGACCTGGCTCCATGGCCTGGCTCTATGACCTGGCTCCATGTATTGGCTTCATGGCCTGGCTCCATGGCTTGGCTCCATGGCCTGGTTCCATACCTTGGCTTCATGGCTTGGCTCCATGGTTTAACTCCATGACTTGGCTTCATGGCCTGGCTCTATGACCTGGCTCCATGGCCTGGCTCTATGACCTGGCTCCATGTATTGGCTTCATGGCCTGGCTCCATGGCTTGGCTCCATGGCCTGGTTCCATACCTTGGCTTCATGGCTTGGCTCCATGGTTTAACTCCATGACTTGGCTTCATGGCCTGGCTCTATGACCTGGCTCCATGGCTTAGCTCCATGTCTTGGCTCCATTGCCTGGTTCCATTGCCTGGCTCCATGGCCTGGCTCCATGGTTTAACTCCATGACTTGGCTTCATGGCCTGGCTCCATGACTTGGCTCCATGAGTGCTGCTGGACATGCTTGTTGTTGACTCAGTGCCATGTTCTGTGCAGTGGGGCCACTTCTCTAGTTTACATGCCAGCCCAACATGCTAGACATTCCTGCACAGAACTATCTCCATTGATTCAGAAAGACAGCTGAAACTCATGTCACTCCTAGTTTACTCACTGTCTGTCCCACATGGTAGTCCACAGGTTGATTCAGCCATACTTACAAAGTTCAACTCAGCTTGTTTCATTCAGACATTCCAGAAATGTGGCAGAGTTTTGAGATCTGTATCCCTGAAACTGTTTGAACTGTCAGCACCCTTAGTGTTGTTGCAGCTGGGTGAGTGATAAAGCTTGGAAAACATTATATTGGACTGATTACACCTGGTGCAGTAAAAACCTAGCTGGTGCAGTAAAAACCTAGCTATTGCTTGTGTTTATGTGTAGGGGCAAGTGTTAAAAGCGAAGGGAGATTTTCAATACCAATTTAACTCACCCCCTTTACACTATGCATTGGTGTACTTCATATTGAGGAGTGATATGGCCAGACTTATTTTTAGTGGCGATCAGACTGAGGGGTAGTCAGCGTGGGTCCGTCTGTGCAGTGAGAGTCGACTGTCAGTACATCATCCAACTGGGATAAGAGCAGAGAAATGACTCATGATTTGAATTTTGCACGATGGTGTCACATTTCAAAGCAGGAGAGATTAGCTATGTAGCTCCCCACTGAGCAGACGGGCTGTGTCGTTTGGGATCACAACAACTAGTGTCAGGTCTGGTCAGACGATCTGCGGCCTCCTACATGTGCTGAACTTTCCCCAGCTCTCGACTCCACATGGTTCAATCTCAGTTCTTGGCCTCCAGGTGAGCAGACGGCTCTCCCCACCACAGTTTTAGTTCCTCTGCATCACTCCCAAGTCTTTGAATGGCATCATAGTGGAAGACTTGACTTTTCTTTTTGAATTAGTGGTGCAAAAATTCATCCAGGGACCAAACTTTTGGCAGGTACAAGATACAAGATTCTGTGGAGACAATGTCAAAAGTGAATGGTGATATATATGAGATGCCACAACTGTCACAGATTCAGTGACTCAGATGAGATAATATTGTCTTGACGACTTGCCATGAAATTGTTGCAGACAGCAACAGGTATAGCCAATCCCGAGGAAGCACATTTCGTCTGGTCGACATAGCCAAGAGGAGACATTCTGCAGGATCATAGTTTGTTTACATAATTATTCAATGGTTAAAGCTGTGAGATCTTCACCAGTGTGATATCATCAAGGCTCAGCAGGTATCTGGGCTTTATTTACGTCTTCTCATGCATAACAACCTGCTGTTTTCTCAAGGAAACTACTCTCTGTAATGTGGAATCCCAGGAAATGTCAGTGAATTTCTGACAGATCGGCACAGATAGTTAGGATAATTTCCCACAAACAGCATCATTCATGGAAGAACAAAAGACAAGCTTTAGTTGAATCAAGGAAGGAAACTGGTTCTGAAAACAGTCGATACTCCTGTAAAAATAGCTGGATTAACCCTTACTGGACTGGGTCATTTACCACGAAGTTGTCCACTGACCCTGCAGGACTTGGCCATGTGGAGCATGCATGTGTAATAACAGTGCTGTGGTATTAGTATGGCCAATAAACTCAGCTCATAAAGAAACCTGAGCTACCATCAACAAGCCTTATCAGGAAATCACATATATCGGAAGTGAACTGTATCTCTCCTTGATTAATGTATTAAGTTACACTAGAAAAACTGTGGAGACTAAAATACTCAGTTATTAATAGCCTGACATTATTCTGTTACTATTGAGGTATTTCACAGTCAGTTTTAATGACATCCTACCAGCAGATTTGTGGCTTTTGGGATGAGGTATTACAGGAATTAGTCTGATTACATCGCTGCGATTCTCTCATCGGTGTAGCATCTGTGCGAACTTGGTAACTCCCTGCTGGGATGGTTATATATTGGGCTGACCATACAGCTCTCCGTCTACCTGCCATTGAAACATTTACATCCAACCTGCATGCTGATAGATCAGTCTTGCCAAGCAGTCTGGGAAAACATCCCACTGTGTTCTGCAGTGAGTAATTGTTTGTACTGAGAGTTAAATGTGGAATTGGGAATAACTGCTTTATAAAGCCTTTCAATTGACTGATGTGGCAGTGAAGAGGTGATGGCAGTATTTATGTCTGTGGTTCTAAAGTGATCTTCTTCATGAGGAGTATATGGTGCTGAAGACCGATGTGGATTTTGAGTTACACTGAAGTCAAGAGTGTTATGACTTTGAAGCATCTTCATCTGGAGTAAATGAACCCCAAGTGACCGAAGACCAACTTTCTGATGCTTTTATCTTTAACTACAAGAAATCCAGTGTCACTAAGTAATTGGCTTTGGGGGAAAGGTTTGTAAAACATCAGACTGATATAAACCTGACATTCAGAAGGAATTATTGTCTATGCCAGACATATTAAATTCCCAAGACAAATCATATGTCAGGAAAGAAGGGAGAAAATTGACATTAATAAGTTTTTCGACTCCTGCATGGACTTTAGTGGTGCTGTGTTTATTGTGTGTTACTGACTCATTCCCCCACCACCAGCATCCTTGTAAGCAGTGTGCTGGAGCCACCACTGTCACATACCAGGCCCGGCAGGACTGGTCTCTTGCTGGAGGAGCAGGGGATGCCTGTTATCTAATCAACTTGTGGGGGCACGGAGTTGAGAACAGGTCACATTTTAGGATACTTCTGAGGTGTTGCTGAAGTTGTGGGGACATTTTTGTTAAAGGCAATCACCAGAAGTGTGAATGATAGGCCTTGAGGAATGTCTAGCAACTTGTTGTTGAAAGAAAAAGAGGACTCCAAGTTTTCGTGAACACTTCAGACATTGAATGGTTAAACTGCAATAAGTGCCAAGTTGGGTGTAATTGTTTCAAGTAAAGTGGTGTTATTTTGATTTCGAGTTTTGTTTACAAAAGTTGCACTTTGCCTTGTTAAGCCAAAATACCAGCTGATATAAGCCTCCATCAGTTTGCTGGCTTGCACTTTGCTACCTAAACACAAGCGTGATCTGATTGATAAAGGCTGCTGCTCGTAACAAAAGTTTTGTTTAGGATAATGTAAACAGCAAGGGCCTCCCACTGAGGCTGGTTTAAAACATATTCTGTGTATTTTTGTCACAGGATTATACCATTATCCGACAAATGCTATCAAGTGGCACCTGATTTGTTTAGAGTGCAACACTTCTGATTTGGAACTGTGCAAACAATTGCTCTCTAGTGTCACACAGATAAGCAGTTGTGTGGAAACCATTATATAGAATCATCTGTCAACAAGTGGGGAAAGTGTGTTTGGGACATAATGGAAGCATGGTGTAACTAGAGCCAGCCTCACCGCCTCAAGCTTTATCTCATCCCTCAGCACCTGGAACACTGCATAGACTGGGATTGGTTCTCACAACTTTCACATTTCTACAGGATTACTTTTTCTGGCTTCGATCAGTGAAGACTTGAGTTATCCTGGATTCTCAGTCAGGAAGTTCTACAGCCAGGCTGTTCTTGGTCAGGTATTTCTACAGTCACAGGGACCCATAGTCAGATGAATGGACCAAGTGATCCTTTAGGGAGATCCTCCTTCTAGAAGATCCACATTCAGGATCCCCAGCCTGGGAGATCCATTGTTAAGAAGATCCACTTTCCAGGAGATCCACATTCAGGAATTTCGAAACAGAGTCCCGAGTGCAGGGAGATCCTTTCAGGAGCTCCACAGTAGCTGAGAGAGGGTATTTCCCTCTGTGTCCTTCAACAATCCTACTGACAAGTAGGATTGGATATTAGAACTTTTTTGAAGCAGATCACGAGAGACTTTCCAAGATGTGGGAGGACCCAGTCGGATCGTATGTGAACATCCCCCTCTACAACAGGATGAACTTCTCAACTGTACCTCGGAAAGCGGTCAGCAAAAAGACGTGGTAAGAAAACAAACACCATGAAACATCAAACCCATGTATGTTGCCACCCTAAAACAAACACATTAGTGAAAACTGCCCAGGCAGAACCTGATACCCTGGGTATAAGTATGTATATGTGTGTTCGATAGGTAACTTTGTTTTCTTTAGTGGCAGACATGTTGTTGCCATGGTTACTACATGCACATCTTGATGACCTCTGACCTTGAGGCAAACAGTGTGATGAATCAGTAGATACAAATACAGGCAATTGGCCCATCTGATGTGAAGTGCTGACAGTAACTCTTCATTGAGAGTTACATGTGGTAACCACATGGAATTAGCAGCACTGTAGTTGATAGGTGAACCTGTTGAGATCTAGTCAGTGTAGGTAGGAACAGGTCAGACACATGGTAGGAGAACATCTGTAGAGGAAAACTGCGCTAACAGGATCCATATAGATGTCGGCCCCCCCACTGCAGGGAGTAGGCATTTTTTATGTTCAGGTTGACTAACATCTAGTCTCCGAAATGAACATATCTTACAGAAAAATACAGTTGTTAAATCATCTTAATAAATATGTAATAAAAAGGAGCCCAGAGACTCCCTTCTTTTTTAGATACTTCAGTAACTTAGACTTTCCGAACATTATAGTTTGGTTGGTTGGTTTGTTGTTTAACGCCGCACTCAGCAATATTCCAGTTATATGACGTCAGTCTGTAAATAATCAAGTCTGGACCAGAAAATCCAGTGATTGATATCATGAGCATCGATCCACGCAATCGGGTTCAATGACATGTTTCAACCAATTCAGAGAGCCTGACCACCCAATCCCGTTAGTCGCCTCTTACAACAAGCATAGTCACCTATTCTATACCAGATCTTCATGGGGACCAAACATTATAGACTTGCATGGCCTGTATTATATACATTTGTTTCAGGCTCAGTATGACAGACTAGGGTGCAGGGGAAGGCAGGAATGCAACTCAAGACCACAATAAATTAATCTTATTATTTTCATCCAAATGTATCAGACATATGAGGCTGGAGGTGTTTGTTAAGTATATATATTTTAGTAAAAACTGTTCAAGGCTTCTCTGTACATTAACTGTTGGCAGTTGTGATTTACAGGAAGCATGGAGGTTTTACAGGACTACGTATATTGGGTTTCACGAGGTAAAGAAAGGACATTCATTTGTGATTTTCTTTGTCGATGGTGACTTGGGCTGAAGGGGTCGTTGGCGCAGGTACTACAGAAATATACCCCAGGTATGTGTCTGTATACAGAAATGTACCCTAGCCAAAATCATAATACAGAAACGTACCCTAGGATGAGTCCATTCTGCAGCAGGGTGCAATGCGCATAACCAGTTCTTTAGGTATTTGTCACTTCCTGTTTGCCAAACTGTGGTTAAATTCAACATGGCTTTACTGCCATACTGTTGTTTGGGTGTATCATATAGGAAACGATCATACACAGTGACTTACCTACGGTCCATAAATCTAATATTCTGACAATATTCACGATGCACGCCTGCACTCATAATATGGCGAACCAGAACTACAACATAAACCGGTTTCGGATTTGGGTTGGGGAATATGGACTTGTCCGATGTTTAGGGTACCAGGTACATTTCTGTGTTCTGATTTTGGCTAGGGTACATTTCTGTATACAGGGTACATTTCTGTAGTACCTGTGCCGAAAATGACCATAAAGTCCAGTAGGGCTGAAAATCTCATAAATATTTATAAGTTTACTTGCCTGAATAATGATCACACAAAGGAAAACTCATGAAAGGCTGACATTTTGCTTTCATGAGAAAAACTAGACTGGCTAGTGTCAATTTGTATTTCTGCAAGGGTTTGACAAGTAACGTTGTCTCCCTTTTACTTGCTTCCCTGTTTTTGGGTCAGATCAGTTACTTAACAGTTGAATACCTTTCATTATGGACTCGGGGCGGTCGGGTAGCCTAGTGGTTAAAGCGTTTGCTCGTCACGCCGAAGACCCGGGTTCGATTCCTGACGGGTACAATGTGTGAAGCCCATTTCTAGTGTCCCCCGCCATGATATTGCTGGAATATTGCTAAAAGCAGCGTAAAACCACACTCACTCACTCATCATGGACTCCGGGCAGGTGTTGAGCTGGTCCAGGGGACCGTTCCACAAAGACATCATGGTGCTGAGGTGATCGTGGCTCACATGCTTTAACGTAAACTTACGACAGTCGTAGCGCTATGATCACTTTGTGGAATGAGTCCCTGGTGAGTGTAGGAAAATTGGCACATTTTTACTTTCCATGGTGATAATGTTTGCTAAATAGGAAATATTGATTCAATCCAGTGTCTCACAAAGCTGATAATTTCATGTATCATTTGGCAAATTGCACGTTTTGGGGTATTTGATTTGTTTTCGAAGACCAAACTCTTGCTACCGGTATTTGTCTTTCAGATTTGACATTCCTGATTGCTTTGGATTATATGCAAAAACTTATAAAGCATTGTTACAAACAACATCATGCTGATCAATACCAGATTTGTATCAATAATATTCTTTTTACCTGCAACAAACACATGATGAAATTATTACTTGTAGGGATACACAAACATGATTCCTGTGTTTCGAGAAATATTATTTTTAATGAAAAGCAGTCATCACCGATCTTTTTCAAGATGTACGCAAATCCTGTCTGTCGAGGGGCGGTCGGGTAGCCTAATGGTTAAAGCGTTGGCTCGTCACGCCGAAGACTCGGGTTTGATTCCCAACATGGGTACAATGTGTGAAGCCCATTTCTGGTGTTCCCCGAAGTGATATTGCTGGACTATTGCTAAAAGCGGCGTAAAACCATACTCACTCACTGTCTGTCGAGGTGATTTTGTCAATGCCTGCATTCCGTTTTTCCCCATCTGTTTTCCCACGAGAGCCATTCATTGAGAAATCTTCCCTCAATATCTGTGGGTGATGTTTCAGCAAGTGCATGTGCATCATAGGAGTCTATAGCCCTGGCCATTTATAGCCAGCCCATGGATGATGATGACATTTGTGTGTTTTCAAGCTGATTTTATCTCATTTTCACTGTGTTGCTTCCATGTTGTTTTAGCCTCTGATTACCCAAAAACTTCTTCTGATTTAGGTGTTATATTTCAGAATGGAGGCATAATCCCTTTTGTGTTGGTCATGTATATCATAAGCAGGTATCAGAAAGTGGATTACCTGTATCAGATTGGATGTTTATGTTAGTGGGAGATTGGAGTTCTTAGAGTCTATCTTAGAACATATTGGAGTTTATTTCTGTATTATTTCATAACGCTTTGGGCTTCTTCTGGAATCAGTGATGATTTGATTATCAGTAATGCAATTTTTACATTAATGGAGATAAGTCTGTGGTAAGTTAAGAGCTTGAATAAAAACATCTGGCCTCGCCTACAGGTGCTTGCTGATTGTTGCCTAGATGGTTGCGTTCTGTAAACTGGGGGATGAGTGAGTGGGTGAGTGGGTATGCTTAATACTCAGTCAGCAAGTTTGCAGCTGTGCACCATGCACAAATCTGTGGCTATTTCAACATATTTACTTTTGAGTACTGAACTTTCTTGCTGTTGGTTTCAAGTAGGGAGTTGGTAAAAATTCCATATGCCCATTTTATGGCTTTCAATATGATAGTGGAAAATGTAGAGGAACGATGTTCTTATATCTCTATACTTATTGGTTTGAGGGGAAGTCGAAGGTGACTCCATTCGCTGTGTAGAGTTGCGTCCCTTGGGCATGCCAGGACCCTATGGTTGTGGTTCACATCCTGTTTCACCCTGATTATGTTTCCAGCTTTGTCAGCTGCACACCCATGCTCATGGGCTTCACTCACTCACTTATAAGTTAATTGAGAAATAACATGAATCTATTATCTGGTTTGAGCTTGTAAACATTGGAAAGAGTAGGCTGTTCCTGAAAGAGGAACTGCGTGTCTAATATTGCCAGGATGTACTTAAGTCAAGAGGGGAGAAGTTATCAAAAGATAAATTTGAACTAAAAATAAACTAGTATTTATCTTCATACTTAGATGTAGTGATCAGCTTTCCCTTGATCTGTCTATCTGCCTGATATTATTTCACTTCTGATCTGCTGAATATTTTTTCCTTTTTGTTCAATCAGTATTTTTTATGTTAGAATTTTTTGTCAATTGATTGGACTGAGTGGAGGTGTTTATTCTAAGGCATAGCTGGGGCAGTCAGGTAGCCTAGTGGTTAAAGCTTTTGCTCGTCACCCTGAAGACCCGAGTTCAATTCCCGACATGGGTGCTATGTGTGAAGCCCATTTCTGGTGTCTCCCACTGTGATATTGCTGGAATATTGCTAAAAGCGGTGTAAAACCATACTCACTCACTCACTCACTCTAAAGCAGTGCTAAGTTGCCATGGAATATATCTACATGGAACAAAAGGTCCAGTCCTTTTCCAACTATACTTGCACAAGTCTCTAAGGCAGTGATTATTAGTTTAAATCATGAGTTCTAGATTATGTAGATAAGAAGAAGTTGTCCCTATAAGAGACGAGAGTACTGTCCACATATCTAGACTTGCCTATTAGGAGGATAGAATTACTACACATCCATGGACTTTTCTTACAGTACAGCCTTAGAGCAAGGCTATCTTCCAGCGATTATTCAATCGAATCCCAGATTTTCCCCGATAATGTTTCTAGCTTTGTCAGCACCGTACCTGTGCTAGTGCGTTTGACCAAAGTGGGAAAAAGACACATCAAGCTGGCTTGCTTTGATACAAATGAAATACTTTTCAAAGTGACATTTCTCTAAACTCACTCCTCACAGACAGAAGGAACTTTAACTCCTTGTTTCTTTGAAGTGTGTCTGGTGCATTTCAGCTGACTGATTCCAACATGACTGAAGACAAAGTGAGATTTTCTTGCAATGCTGGCTCCTTGTACATTGTCTCCAAAGCATTTTTTCTCAAATTTGCAGAACCTTTAATCACCATTGAAGCATGTGAAACAAATACATTTGATATATACTCAGAT